AAAAAAAAAAAAAAATCAACGTACGTAAAAATATAAGCACGAAAGGAATAACCGAACGTAACGCGCGAACAGCGAGCCTCGGTTTGCCTAGCCTAGCCGCCACTAAACGCCACTATCCTAGGTTAGACACACTCGCGACACCCTCCCACTGCTCCCTCCTCCATCTATCTTTATCCCCCTCCCTATATATATCTCTCTCTCTCTTTCTCACTTTCTGGTTCGCGCATATCCATCCTAACGGCGCGCGGCAAGGCGTCTCTGCTCGAGTCTATGAGCGTACACGAGAAAGAGGGGGGTGTGGGGGCTGGGAGGAGGGGGAGGGGGAGGGTTAGGCACGGGGAACGGAGGAAGGGGGTCTGCCGGTGAGCAAGAGAAAGAGAGAACGGTGGGGGGGGGTTAGGTGGGGTGGTAGAAAAGACGAGGAGAAAGAAGAAGAGGTGGTGGAGGAGGAGGTGGAATAGAAGAAGCATGGGGTTTGGGGTGGGGTGGGGTAAGGGGGTGTTAGGTAGGAGGCTTACACACGCCGCGTCGTGGATTCGGTGAGTCGCAAAAGTGGGTGGTGGGGTGGGAAGAGGGGGAATCGTAAGGCCATAGCCACGGCCACCGAGTAGTCGTATACTCGCGCGCGCGCGCGCGCGTCCACATATACACACTCATAGGTTTTTAGAAAGAGAGAGAGAGAGAGAGAGAAATAGATAGGCACGTGTGCGCTCGCGTACATTTGCGAGATGATCTTCGAGCGGCCGCCAACCAGCTAGCCTAGCTTGCTAGCTCTCGATCTTGTACTCACTCGTCTTTTGAATCATGCTTGTATTATAACTGTATGTATGTTTTGTGTATGTGTGTCTATTTATTTTTTTTTTGTTTTAGAGAGAGAAAGAGAGAGAGAGAATGTCGGGTGAGTATGCTTTATCTATCTAACTCTTATTTCTTTATCTATTTCGGTCGTATTTCATTTATTTGTTTCTTTTTTAAAGTTATACTCTACTTTTGGCGCGCGTTTTGGAAAGTGAAGTTAGATGCGATCGAAAAAAAATCGACACCACGAAGTTGTCGATATTTACGCTAAGCGCGGGAAAATTGAAATTATTTTTGAGGTTATATTCGTTTTGGTATATACGCTAAAGAAGTATAACTTCTTATGTGTGTACATAAGTATACACATCAGTTTTTTTTTTTTTTTTATTTTATTAAGTTTCAATGTTAAAACGTTCAATTGTAAAGATAATATTTATTAACAACGTGTAATAATAGGATGATCGTAGATAAAAATGACGCGGACGATATTTAAAAATATTTCCAAAAGTGGGGGGACTTTAAAATTTGATATTGGTTTTTTTATTTGTATTATTTTTATTTTTTTGAATTCTCGGTTTAATTATCGGATATTTAATATGTTAATATTAATGTTAATGTTTGTGTTTGAGTGTTTAAATATAACGGATTAGGACTTAACTAATTATAGATGTTGAATTTTTTGTTGAAAATTATGAGAATGTATGTCTGCTCAAATGTAAAATATTCTGAACGATAAAAAGAGAGATCTAGGTAATATTTAATAATTTATAATGTATGTTTCTTATAAAATTCATAATAAAAAATGTTCAGTTACTGATGAAGTCCCAATAAAGGTATGAAACGTCCAATTTGATCAAAATAAAGTTCTAGTTCTTTTTAATGTCCAAATTCCCTACGATACCTATTTAATAATAATTTTATTTTTGAACGGAGAGAAACAACTATAATTGATTAATGTTAATATCGCAATTTTCTTATTGGTTTCTTTGTTATTCTTTCATCGTTGTTTTGATTAATAATTAACCAATTAAACGATGTAAAAATGAATACGATCTGTGATATAGATTTTTAATTGTTGGTTTGTTATCAATGTTATATTTTCGTTATAAGTTTTGAAAATAAGATAAATAAAATTGTAGGGGAATGTAGAGTAAATTCTATAAAGGTTTTTTTTTTTTTATTATTATATATTCCATATACGTTGTAAATGATCCTGAGCTTAGGCATACGTGACACGTTCGTATATTAGTATGAATATTTATTTACCTGTGTGTGTGTGTGTGTGTGTATGTGTATATGGTTAAAAGATGAAACTTCTAGTGTGGAATATTGGGGAGAGTGCACTAGAGGAACGTGCTTAGAGTCTTTTACTGGCTTTTTTCTCCTTTCTACTAATATTTTTTTCATATCCCTACTGAGAGATATTAAAAAGGGAATGACAGATAGATAAAGAAAGAGAAAGAGAGAGAGAGAAATAACTCATATCTTTAATATAAAAAAAAAAAAGAAAAATTCTTACAAAAATAGATCGTTCTTCAAACAATTCTCACGAATGTTTTTATTTCTTGTATAAGATATTTCGATATTTAATATAAAACAAAATAAAAAAAAAAGAAGAAAAAAATTACATCAAAATTATTACTTTTCTCAATCTTCGTCAAATCGAATTTTAAAAAAAAACAAATCAATCGATTCTCGAAATACAAACAACAATTCGTCGTTCATTTTATTTTACATCAATGATGCACGATGCAAATTGCATTTGTACATCTATCTATTTCTTTTCCTCTTACAAGAATCTTCGATTAACTACTTTAGCCCTGTGATTTGATGCAAGGGACAATGCAAAAAAATAAAAACACACACACACACACACATATACACGAAAGTAATGAAATCTTTAGATCATCCTAAATTATTCTTATCGAGGAACGTTAAAAAAAAACCCTGTTGTGTTGTATATATATATGTATATGTATACTATACATACATAGATCGTAGAAAAAAAAAAAAAATTGTAATTACACATAGCTCAATATGACTACCCGTTATCTATTATTATCGCGCTATTAACATATTCCAAAGTAATATTAAACTTATCTTTCTCGATATCAACGAGTGTGTTATCAAGCCTCTCGAAACCTTCAGAACGAGACTGTTATTATGAACAAAGTATACTTTTTAACAGGTCATTTTTCTTTCATACACATATACACACATAGATACGATCGATCGTATATTTATAATTCATAATATTCATATTATATTCATTCATACTTTTATTCAATCTATATATATATATATTTAAAAAGTATAATAAAAATTACTTACACGCGACTATATACGTCCTCGAAACATAATTATTTAAACACACGACAAAAATATTAAATCGTTTACACGTATATTCTGAAATACTAATTACACTATTTAATATAATTGGCATTAAATTAAACAAATTCATTAATAATACATACAAAATATAATTCAACTAAATAATAATAATATCATTAATTTAATCTCAAATATTACTACAACAAAAAACACATGTATACAATATTGTAATACAAATATCTACAATTTCTACAAAATTTCTTCCTCAAACAAAAATTAATTATCTTCCAATATGTTTTTTTCCAC